CTAGAGATGGCCATTGTCATATAGATAGGTAAACTGAAGTCTAAGAGAAGTGATTAGCCTCTACTCTTATCTGTCATATGAGCCTATTGTGCAGGGAAGGTTTAGTGAGACAGAGGGATTCCTGCCTGCTCTTGTGCAGTAGTCAGAGGCAAGAAGGCAGCCAGCCAGTGAGTGACCCTGTGGGTGGCATAGGCACAGACAGAGATGCTGGCAACATTAGTTCTTTTGGTTTGACTGGAGGCTGAGGTGGGCATTGAAGGCTGGGTGGGCCCAGGTAAGGGGAAAGAAGTGTTCTCAGCAGGGAAGGGTGGGAGGAGTGCTGTTACCCTTCCTATCATTTGGTGGGTAGGAAGAGCAAACTTGTTAAGTGTCCCTTCTGCAGCCTAGAGGAGGTGATCAGGAAGGGAAAGAAGTATACAAATTGAATGCCAGGTCTTTTGGCCTGAAGGAGATGATGAAAGGTGGATCCCTTACTTTCTCTCTTTTTCTCATGTGGTTGTTAAGACTGGCCTCCTGAGGCTAGAGCTTCCCACCCAGACCATGCTCAGTCTGCAGGCCAGATGAGGTGAGGAGCTATGCTCTCTGACATCCCATGGGCATTGGCTTCCTGTTAGGGGAGCAAGGGATCTAAACTGGGCTCAGGGAGAAACATCTGGAACAGCAATGTTGCATTCTTCAGTTCCTCTGTCCCCTGGGTCCTCTGCTTACAGCCAACTGTGGCAGCTCTATGACTTTGGAAATCAGAACTGGCTTAATTGGCATCCCTTATAGATTGTGCCAGTTTTGGTTGAGGTGAGGCCAGGGCCCTCTTGGCAAGCCAGAACTTGACTTCTTGCCCTCCCACTACCTTCTCTCGTTTTTAAGCTCAGAGAATCCACTTTTTTTGAGCTATTACAGGTCCTGGGAGAGCATGGAGCTGGCAATAAGTGGTCGCTGGGTGGCCCATCTGGAAGGAGGCAGTTATACATGTGGGGCCCTGGTCTGTGACTCTAGACCACAGGCCCTCCCATTTTCTCTCCTCCTTCCCTTCTCTCAGCCTCAAAAGAAAATCCGGTTTGGTGGCCCTGTGGGTGTTCTAGGGCCTCAGACAAGACCTGACTTGGTAAAGGCGGGGGCAGGCACCAGCTACTGCCCTGGGAAGGTGCCTGTGTGTCCGCCTGTTAGGAAACCTTAAGCTGTGGGAAAGAGATAAAGTGGTGGGACCTGCTTGATGTTTGGTCCTCCCAGCATCTGTCCTGAAACAGGACCTTCAGGGGACAGTGAGACCTGGTTTTGTTCCAAGCATCCAGTCTATTTACACTGAGCAGGGAGAAAGAAGATGTTCCCTCCTTACATGAGCTCTTGAGTCTGTCTGTCTGTCTGTCTGTGTGACCATGGATGTGTTGCTTCACTTCTGAGCCTCAGTTTCTCACCTGCAAAGTAGTTACAATAATACTGGCTTTGCAGGATTGTTGTGAAGTTTAAATGCACTAATGACAAAAGCCTGGCACAGAGTAGGTGATCAGTGAATGTTTTTCCCCCTCTTAAACCCTGGAGTAATTAATTAGTGGTCTGTCTTTCCATTTTCTACTTCCTATCTCTGGCCATGATGATGAATGAGGCCCGCCCTATGGACAGGGATAAACACTAACCCAGTTAACCCCTCACTTCCCCAAAGAAGGGGTGATTAACCATTTCTATGGATGAGCACACTGAAGACCTGAAAAGAAAATGCCCAAAGTTTGCCAGCTGATAAATAGCAGAACTAGGACCAGAACTTGCTTCTTGACACTGAATCCAGTGACTAAATCTTGCTAACTTTGTAGCAGGCAGGGTGCCGGATCCTCATGATCCCTGAGGCCCCACACAAAGGGCAGGAGTTAGCAGAAACCTGGCTACCTCCCCATCCCAGTGTGGAGGGCAAGACAGGTTTTAGTACAGTGAAAGTTCATGGCTCTTCAAGCAGGAGAAAGGCCTGGAGAGAAGGATCCTTAGGGAATCCCTGGAAGTGTGGCTTAGCCCTTCCATAAACCAGAGTCTACATGGTATTGGTGTTGACTCCAGAGTGCTACAAAATGGCAATCTGATTTTGATATCCAATCTGTACCTTTTGGAAGAGGTATTTGTAGTGTTTGTAGGCAAGGCAGGAATTGTGTTCTTGTACCTGTGAGGAATCTGAAGCTGGGAGAACCCTTGCATTAGTTCACAGTGGAGACAGACCAAAGAGGGATCCCAGGTGTTTGACTCTCAGTCCAGTACTTCTCTAGCTATATGGCACTGCCCACTCTTACTGGCCTATTGAGTCTCCAAGCCCAGGATGCATTGTCTACCAGACTAGGACCCTCCACCATTCATCTGCAGTCATGTCCTAGTTGATCACTTTCTTTATGCTCCTGGCAACACACCTGATGGAGAGATGGTCTCCTTTAGCTGATTAATTTGCCCTTGGCAAATCTGCTACTATTCTGGTTCAAGGGACCTTCCCTGGCAGGGAGAAAACTGTCCTGGATGTCCCACTGGCAAACCAATATTCCTGATACTTAGCCTGCTTTAGAAGCCCCCTATCCAGGATTTGGGGGTAGCTGCCCACTTTTGCTTTCTATCTGATCTTCCCCTTCCCCATCTTTCTTACCTCGACCCCAGCCTATTCCATTCTATGCCCTGTCTAGCTTCTCAGAGGCTGTCGCAGCCTGGCTCTTTGCTCCTCTTTAGGTAGGAAAGTAGGTAACAGACACAACAGTCTGAGAAAGCAAGCCAAAGTTTACTTTTGCTGGCTTAGCCATTTCAGCAGTGAGCTTACTTACCAAACATTTTTTGAGCACCTACTTTGCCAGACCCTGTGACTAGAACAAGGAATACAGAACTGAACAAGATGTCTCTATCTTGTTGCCCTCAAGGAGTTCACAGATTGGTTGGAAAACAGAACCACAAACAAATCTTTACAATATTGAGTGATAGAGGCTGTAATTGAAGTGTGTGGTTGTTCTGGGAGTATATAAGAGGAAGCAGCCTGTTCCACCCACAGGAGCCTAGAAAGAAGTGGCATTTGATCCAAGACTCAGAAGGGACAAGCCAGGGCAGTCCATTGGGTGAGAGGGAACGCATGTGCAGCGTTCCCCCTCAAAAGTCAACAGTTTGAGAATTGTAGATACACCAAGAGCAGAGGTGATAAGAACAGGCAGGAGAACAGAAGTAAGGGCTAGGAAAGGAAGATGGGTTGACAAGGCTAGTCTTGGATGTCAGACTGAGGCCTCTTGTTTCAGAAAGGTTAGTCTAGGTCTGGTGTGGAAGATGGTAAAAATCTGCATCACAAGTAGTAAGACCTGTTGGGAGAATCCATGATAGGCCAAGAGCTCTAGTGAGACCTGGAAGAGGTCTGGAGCCATGAGGAGGAAGGGCTGGCAAATCATTAAGGCTTGGTGTTTAACTGGCTGCATGGACTGGAGAGGTGGGAAGTCCTTCCACAGAGCCCATCCTAGCATCTTCTGGCTACAGGGAGGCAAGGCGGGCTGCACCTTACTCTGCAGTGGGCAGTGGGCTGCTGCTGACTTCATTTTGGCATAGCACTGGACTCCCCAAGGTACCTGAACTGGCTGGCATGTCCAGGGCAAATCAAGGGACTCTTTGTCTCCCTTTAAGCAGGAGAGCAGGTTGGCTAACCTGGTTGGAGAGGGAGTTGGGTGAGTACTAACCTTTGTGGTCTCTGCCTGATAAACATATTGGATGGCAAGGAAAGCTCCAAGGAGTGCCAGGCTCCTCTCCAAGGAGAGAGGAATGAGGCCCAAGGACAGGGAAAACAACCTTAGGATGTGTGGCAGTTGGGAAGGGTAGGTTTGGGCCTTTGGTCATAGCATAAACTGGTCAATGGGAGGCAGATGATAGCTGAGGCCTGGCTTGAACTCACCTAGTATCTTTTTTTTTTTTTTTAAATATTTTTCCCTTAGTTGTTGATAGATCTTTATTTTATTTATTTATACATGGTGCTGAGAATTGAACCCAGTGCCTCACACATGCAAGGCAAGGGCGCCACTGCTGAGCCACAGTTCCAGGCCAAATCTAGTATCTTTATCTGTTCATGGAGCTGGTGCCTTGATTGAGATAGTGGAAACAAGTCCCACACCTTTGAGAAGGCAAACTCTTTATCATTTAGGGGTACCACCAGAGCTGATGGCCGTATAGCCTTTCTTCCCCTTCCTTGAGCCTTAAGACCTCAGACCAGTTCCAAGCTTATAAATTGGAGATGAGAGATTCTAGCTAGAAATGTCGATTCAGGCTGATGTGTGGGGAAATTCTGTGAATCAGGCATAGGGTTCCAGTCCCAGCTTTCCCACTGACTCTTGTGGTTTGTGACGTATGCTCATCTTCTCATCCAACCCCTTAGCCCTCACTTTGTGTACAGTCCTGTGCCAGGCTCAGGGTAGACATTGGTCCTGCCCTCACAGGACTTACAGCCTAGCAGGGAATTCAGACATTAAATCAGTAATTACAGGTGTGGCTGTGTACAGAGGACTGTGAGGATCAAACACAATAACTGGGTTAGGAACATAGTGTGAACAAAGACTGCTGTACAGGGATCAGGAGACCCAAGTCCTCGGCCTCGCTGACCCCCTAACTAGGTGTGTGACCTTGAGAAGCTTGCTTAATCTTTCTAAACCTCAGTTTCCTTCTCATATAAAATAAGGCCATTCTACTGGCTTGATGTTGAAGAACATTCTGAGACTGACCTCAGAGTATATGAAAAGTGCTTTGAAAGGTTCTTTATGTGGTAGTTTTTCTACTGCAAGGGGTCATTGTGGCACATCATATAGAAGCCAGTGCTTCCAGCATATTGTGTTCCCCTGTGAGTAGACCCCTCTTTTTTTTGCAGGACCAGTGGCCCTCACATTTTGGGAAGTAAAACCAGATTGAAGGATACTTTGATTTGCCTGGCTCTTTAATCCATAATGCACTTTCATTCTCCTATAACTTTGTAGTAACCCTTATAGGAGCAATGGGAAATTGGTAGACTAAGGGTTTTTTGTTTTGTTTTACCTTGTTAACAGGTAAGGAAACCAAGGCTGAAGAAGTAATGAAATGGACTTGGAATCTTGGATTCTTCCAGTTTTCCGTCTCACCAGAGCTGTGGCTGTATAGCCTTTCTTCCCCTTCCTTGAGCCTTACGACCTCAGACCAGTTCCAAGCTTATATACTTCTTTTTTTTTAAACATTTTTTTATAGCTGTAGATGGACAGCATATCTTTATTTTATTTGTTTATTTTTATGTGGTGCTAAGGCTCGAACCCAGTATCTCATACATGCTAGCAAGTGCTCTGCCACTGAGCTACAGCCCCAGCCCTTGATACTTCTCTTAACAGGCTTCTTGGGTTGTTTCTGTCTGAGTTGTTATGAGAGATGGCACAACTCCTGACCCAGGTCTGCCCACACAGCCCCTCACATGTACTCTAAGGTGAGGTGCGAACAGCTGGGTCATAAGGGGCCCAGTGTGGGAGTGTAAGTGTAGGGAACTCTTGCTCTTCCTCAGTGTACTCTGGGCCCTGGATGCTCTGTGTTTAAAGCAATCCTTCCTGGCTGGCCACTTTAGGAGGATGCTACTTCTTTCCCTACCCTCTCTGTCTTCACTTTATAAGAAAGGGCAACCTAAACTGGCCTGGGAGAGCCTAAGTTCAAGACACCAGCAAATTCCGCTTCAAGTTCTGGCTATGACCCTTCCTAGGCATGTGACTGTTCTGAGTTTGTAAATGGGCCATTGATGGCATTGGTGGAGGGTAGGGGGCATTAAGAGGATTAAGGGAGATAGTGTTGGAAAAACACCCAGCACATAGTCTGCCATAGTGTAAGTGCTCTGTGTCTGTGGTACATGGTGGCTTTCATACTTCAAGTGTGTATTACCCTCTGAGATTTCACATCAGGCCTTTGGTGTAATTGTGAGGAAGCAAGGCAGCATGGGAGTGAAGATCTGGCTTCCCCCACATGCTCTGACCACCCATTCTTGGGGTTGAGGCAGGAGCCAGTCCCTCTGTTTGTAGTGAAGACTTGGGCTTGCCAGGGCAGGCTGGGAATTCCCCCATCAGTTCCTCATTGAGACATTTGAAGCAGGGCCCTCAGCCAACCCTGACTCTGAGGGCCTGCTCTTCCCTCTCCTTGACTTGTGATGAGAAAGCAGAAGTGAGACAGAGGTGGGCCTCCTGAGAGCTTCAACCCAGCATATGACCAAAGGACTGCCTGGAGCCTTTGCCCTCCTGGGTTGGGGCAGTCACCTGGGAAAGAGTCCAAGCTTGCTTCATAATTACCACTGCCATCCTCCTGCATGCCTTGTAGACCTTCCTGCTGTACTTCTGTCCTGCCTCTGAGTGGCTCCCTCTGGCTTTCCAGCATTGTCCTGGCAATGCCATTTCACAGAGGAACCTGTATGGTGGATCAGGCTTTCAACTACCTCACTTCATTTAATTCTCTGATATGTAGTTGTCATCATAATCCCCATTTTACAGAAGCATAAACCAAGAGGCAATATGACTTGCTAAGCATCACCCAGCTTGTGGCTGTGAGTCCATTGAGCTCCAAGCTCTTGGAACAAGGCTTGTGTGCACTGAGCTGAGCAGACAGCATCCAATACTGTAGTTGGGTGACATAGCAGGAGAAGAGGAAGGCCTGGATTCACTTCCCAGTGCCATCCCCTGCTTGCTGTGGACCTTAGATAGTTACTGGCTTACCTGAGTTTTCCCATCTATAAAAGGGGTTTGATAATTAGAGGACCTATCTCATGGGCTTGGTGCCAGGATTGAATGAAATCATGTAAGTTAAGTGCTAAGTAGTGTCTGGTGCATAGCAAGTGTCTGGTGTTGTAACAGACCTTCAGTTAAGTTAATTGACTATTAGAATTTTAATGTTGTAAAAGGCCATCATCAAGCAGATGTGTGCAGCTCTGCTGGCTTTAGAGGAAGATCCAGACCTGGTATCAGGCCAGAGAGGGAGTGCTGTTCATCAGGCTCTTACTGTGCTTGTACTACTGGTTTCCAGGTAGAGTGCATTGCTGAGAACCCTAAAATGAATAGGGCCTGAGCTCACAAAGTTAACAAATTGTCAACACACACTTATTGAGCACCAGCTAGTTACCTGTTCTAGCAGATAGCACTGTTCTTGACTTGAGACACACTGCAGAAAATGAGACTGACAAAGCCTCTGCCCTCCAGAATTCCCTGCTTTCTAGGAAGGCACCTCCTTACAGAATGCTTCCTTAGCAAACTGGACAGTTGGTAGGGAAGCTGTGCCTGCTCTACTGGACTGTCCACATTCCCCAAACAAGCCATTCCCTTTCCTATTAACTTGCACTTGCACGTACTGGGCCTACTGCCTGTTGTGTCCTTTTCCCTTTCTTGGCCTGGTCACTTCCTGTCACCCTTCAAACCCCAATTTAAAAGTCAACTCCCCTTTGAAGCATTTCCTAAACATTCCCACCCTCATCCTAGGGACTTCTTGCAGGCTCTTCGTCCCTTTCACTTGCTTCTGTTTTTTTTTTTTTTTTAACTGGTACCAGGGATTGATCTCAGGGGTACTTAATTACTGAGCTACATCCCCAGCCCTTTTTAAAATTTTGAGACAGGGCCTCACTAAGTCCTTAGGACCCCTCTAAGTTGCTGAGGTTGGCTTTGAACTTGTGATCCTCCTGCCTTAGCCTCCTGAGCCACTGGGATTACAGGCATATGCCATGGTGCCTGGCCTTTCATTTGCTTCTGGGCTAGCACTTCTGTGCAGACTAGTTATTTACCAATTCATCTAACTCCTTTGCCAGATTGACCTCCTCAAGGGCAGAGACTGCATTTTATTCATCTTTTAGAGATTCAAGGCTTAGAGCACAGCTCTAGAGATATGTGTATGGAATGTAATGATTGTGCTGTCTCCAGAGCAATTAGGAGAGGCATTGTAGAGATGAGAGGCAGATCTGAATGGGGTCTACTAGGATGAGAGGAACCAAATTAAGAGGCTGGGGGCAGGGAGGCTGAAGAAGGGTGGCTCAAGAGGAGGGCTGTGTAGACATGCAAGTAGAGGTGAAAGGAGTGATGTGCAGGAGGGCAGAGAGCCTGGGCCTGAAGCTTTTCTTGGTGAAGGAGGACAGTAGGCAGCCATGAAGAGGTTTAGGCAGAGGTTGGGCTTTGTGCAAGCAGTTGAGACAAGAATAATTTGATAAGATCTGTCAATAAGATCTAGCAGTTTGGAAGGGTGGGTGAAGGGGTCATGTGTGAGTCAGGGTAGCCCCCCGGTGCCTGCAATGAGATTGTGATCCAAGGGCCCAGTTACTGGGAAAGAATTTTATGTATGTATGTATGTATGTATTTACTTACTTACTTATTTATTTTTGCAGTACTGGTGATTGATTTCAAGGGTACTTTATCACTGATATCCCTGGCTCTTCAAATTTTATTTTTGAGACAGGGTCTTGCTAAATTTCCCGGATTGGCTTCAAACTTGAAATCCTCCTGCCTCAGCTTCTTGATTACAGGCATGCACCCAACACTGGCAGGGAATTTAATGCACCACTCTGCTGGCAGAAGTTGAGGTTTGGGGAAGGGATATTTTCTGTGGAGAACAGTCTCCATAGCTTTCTGAGTGTGTCAATGAGGTCTGCTGTAGGGTTTCTGCTGTGGTCTGTTCCCTTCCCTATCTGAGCAAGGCAGAGGAGGAGGGATGCCTTGCTTTTTGGGGCCAACAAACCTGATGACTAAGGAGACCATTTTTTTTGTATCTCACACAGAGCAGGGTGGAGCTGAGCAGAGTGCTGAGGGCACTCTGCCCAGGGCACCAAGGCCAGTGAAGGGTGGAGAAAACCTGTTTACCACTGTGCACTGACCCAGAACCGGAAGGAGCAGAGCCAGGGAATGCCTCATGGGAAAGAGAGGCAGGCCCAGCACTCCTCTGCACTAGGAGCAAGGAAAGAAAAGCAGGTCAGACTCTCACCCAAACAAGGACCTGTTGATGGCCAGCCAGATCCAAGGCAGGTGGTCAGACAGCTACAGACCATCATACTTTCCACACTACTTACAATGTGGTCTTAGGCAAGTCATTTACCCTCTGGGCCACAGGTGCCCCGTCCCCCGCAGCTTTCTAGGGATTGTATAGACTTACTGGGTGATCTCCCAGGCCTGATTGTCAGCTATTTGCACACCAACAGCCTACCCTCTCCTGCAGTCAGGTTTTCTATCATCACATCTTTTGGAATTGGGGTAAAAGCTGTTTATAATTTCAGTTGTTACCATCCATCTCTTGGGGTAATGAACTCTAGAGGCTGTTGTCCAGTGTGTAGATCAGTCTTTTTGCTTATCCTTGCTTCTATATCCAATTCTGGGTATGGAAGAAGACGCTCCTTTACCTTCATTGCCTCTGGGTCTGTGATTGGTTGTCTCTGCGCATCCACTTCCCACACTTTGGTGGGACTTCCTCTGGTAGTCTCTTCTTCATCCTGGAGACTCAAACATGAAAGTCTCCTGTTATATCCTTTACTCCTGCCCTTCTCAGTTCCGAGGGTAGAGAAGAAGAGGGAAGCTCTGTTGTGTGCAGGTCACTTAGTATCTATTGGATAGGTTAGTGCTCAGGTAGCAACCTCCACTTCCAGGCTATGTAACCATGGGCAGATTACTCAACCATGCTTAATGTTAGTCTATTGACTGGAGATAAAAAAAAAAAAAGCTACTTCCTCAGGGAGTTATGTGTCCATGTGGTGCTTGGCAGAGTTAGTACATGGCGAGTGCTCAAATTGTGTCAGTTCTTATTGCCTCATGCCATCTTTACCACTGCTCTCCAAGGAGATGGCATGGCCCATGTGTTATAAATGAGGAACCGAAAGCTCAAAGAATGGAGAAACCCTTCCCCATTTCACATAGCTATACAGTGGCAGAGCTGAGATGATAAGACGGGAATTTTTTTATTTATTTTTTGCATTACAATTCTTATTACATATATATATACCACTTTTTTTCATATCTCTGTTTTTATATAAAGTATGTTGACACTCAATTTGTGTCTTCATACATGTACTTTGGATAATGATGTCTATCACATTCCATCATCCTTGCTAATCCCCTACCTTCTCCCTTTCCCTCCCACCCCGAGAAGACAGGAATTATAGTTTGTATGTAAATTACACAATCTTTTGGAGCCTCAATTGCTTCCTAGGTAAAATGGGGATAACCCTGCCCTGTCTACCTCCAAGACCTGTGTATGGGGACCAGTCAGATTAGAAAAGGGATGTGAAAGTTCTAGCTAAACTGCATCAGTTGCCTAATAGCTACCACTTACTGGCCACCCAGTAGGCGGGACCAATAATACATTTATTTCTCACTGAAGTTTTATGAATATGTGGAGTGCATTATGGTCCCATTAAAGATGAGGCTTAGGAGGTCAAGTGTTTGTCTGTAGTCTCCTGTTAGTAGATGGAAGAACTGGAATAGGTAC